CCGATTCTGGGGTTGCGGCGCTCATCTCGCTTTATTGGCCGAGGGAGCCAGCGTACAGCTTCCGGGTCATGTGGCCAGCATGACTAAGCTGCTTCTGGCGAACCAGAGCAGCACACGGAAACGCTGTTTACCTTCCCGCCGGAGCAGTACCTATTTATCTACTTGCACTTTGATGTGCTTTTGAACTGCTAGGTTGGCAGGAGCAGGGACCGAGCAACGGGAGCTCACCTCGTCGCAGGGATTCGAACCACCGACCTTCTGATCGGCAAGTCTTAGGCTCTGTGGTTTAACCCACAGCGCCACCCACGTCCGCTATGCATTTAATAGTCTCAGGCTTGTTCAAACACTCCCATGACTCTTCAGAGCTATTGATTTCTTCATGAATGTTCATACATGAGAACATAGACAGTTGCATGGTTATCTCCAACCTTTAGTCTTGGTAGGACACCGGAGGTTTATTGTTTTTTCTTAAATTACATTCCTCCAAGAAGTTCATGGCAACCTGCTTCATTGTCTGTCCCATTTATCTGCACAAGATTGTAAAAATATGACAGGCTGATAGAGGACAGTTGGCAAAGGTTAACCATTGAGCTTCAAGGCTGAGTTATAAAATGCACGAGTGACATGACTTATGCTTGCAGAATGAGACTTTTTCTGCTCTCCCCTCTTCCATGTGCATCCCTTACCATCCTTAGCACCCTCCAATTCACCTCAGAGTGTTGGGGAGAAACCCAGAACAGATTTAAAGAAATGTATATTTGCAACTTGGGACTGTATTTAGAAAAGACAGGATAGATTAGAAAAAAAATATGATTCATTTTTCTACAAAGATGGGGATATTAAAGGAGAGGATGCCATTAGCTTGTGTGATTAGCAAATGTCTGAATCTAAATAGAATGCAAGATTTCATTCTGCATTTGACAACTGCAGAGAATGGGAGATGGGGAATTATGATTGGCTGGAAGGTTGTTGTTAAATGAGATTGGAACCGTTGCCTGAGCTGTGATAAATGATTTGCTGTTGTCATAGCTTCCCTCTGAACAAAGACTGAATAATTTAAGATTCAAGATTCTGTAGAAACAGAGAACATTAATATATATACCTTTTTTAACTTATATATTCAGTGGCACATCAGCCCTGCCTAAAGCAATTGATGCTATCTCCCAGTGCTGGCTTTAGCATAAAAGAATCTCTACAGTAATATTTCATTGAATGTTTGTATTGAAAAGGAGTAAACACATAAAGAGTTTAGGACAAAACAGACAGTATGGAACTTGCTCCATATCTTATAAATGAAACAAATCAGGCCCAGAATCAATTTGCCCAACCATAAACTCCCTTAGAGACCATGGCCATCTATGACTTGCCGCATCAAATGTGGAGAGGAACCATTGGGTGGAAGTTAAGAGTGGCTTCAGTTCAGTACTTAGTTTCATGCAACCATAGCATGGGATGCCACCACAAGAAAGTGGCCTTTGGTTGTTCAGACAAGAGAGTGACTGGCATGCCTCCCTCCTATCTCTGCTGGACAGTGAACAACTTGCTTTTCTCCAGAGTCCTTTTACACAGAGATGGAACTGTACACAAGGCACTTTACAACCCACAGCAATGACAAAATGTACAACAAAGATCACAAGGTCACAACAATTCAAAAATGCAGCTAAGATTAAACAGTCCACTAAAATTAAATAATCCATTTCGCATACATCACATGGTAATGCCAACAAAAGATCGGCAAATGAAAATAAACAAAATGTTCTCTATGAATTACTGTAAATCATTAAAATCTAAACCAGGACAGCATCAGTAAAAATACAATACATAAAATGCCACAGAGATAACACCAATAAAATATGGCATAAAACGCATGCATAAAATGCAATGGCACATGCTCGTTGGCATTTTCAAAAATGGAAATAAAAATAGAAATAAAACCCTCAACACCTGGGAAACACTGGAGAGCAGGGAAAATCCTGGAATGAAACCATTCTGGAGAAAGGCCACCAGGACACTCAGGAGTAGATGGGTAAGCAAATGTTACTACCAGGAGAACAAGGTGGTGTTGGAAGCCTTGCCTAGTAAGTTGTTGCTAGTTCAGAAGAAAACTTCTGTGGCATCTGAAAAGTAGTGGTGTTTGTTTTCAAGTAGGTTAAGAAAAGCTGGAAGAAGGACACGTTTTATTTAATCTATTATTGTAGCTTACACCGCAAGTGTGAAGCAGTGTCACCAAGGCACTGTTTTTCTTGCCAAAAGGAGCGGATGTTGTGATTTCCCTCGGTGTGGATTCTGGCTGCAATCCTGCCAGGATAATAATTTATAAATTCGAATAGATACATCATTGAGAATGTAACCTTTGACTTTCTCCATGTGCTTCCTTCTTTGCCCACCTGCTCCTTTCGACCGACTTGGTTACTCTCCGGTGGGACCCCTTTTGCCATCCTCTTGACATCCTTTGACCTTGAAAGTGCTCAAAATGAGACCCAATCCCCTGTAAATAACCAGATTAGTACATCTATATGACAGAAGTAAAAGCTTTTGTCTGTGAGGAGATTGCAGAGACCTGTTGCCAGGCAACACAGGCTGGAGGCAACAAAACAAAGAGGAATGGGTGTGTGGGTGTGAAGGGCTTAGGAAGCACTAGTTGTACGTGGAGTGACTGGGCTACACTAGTAGAAAAGGAAGCAACTAGAGAGATCTAGTCCTGCCTTATGCTGCTGCTTCAGTGGGGCAACCCATTTCAGCAGCTCTCAGTGGGTGGAGGTGGTGGCAGAGACTGTGCATGTTTCATGAGCCTGTGCAATGCTTGCATTTTATCATTGTGGCTGTTTGACACTGTAAAGGTAAAGGGATCCCTGACAGTTAAGTCCAGTCGCAAACGACTCTGGGGTTGCAGCGCTCATCTCGCTTTACAGGCCGAGGGAGTTTGTCCGCAGACAGTTTTTCGGGGTCATGTGGCCAGCATGACTAAGCTGCTTCTGGCGAACCAGAACAGCGCATGGAAACACTGTTTACCTTCTCGCCGAAGCAGTACCTATTTATCTACTTGCACTTTTTTGGCGTGCTTTTGAACTGCTAGTTTGGCAGGAGCTGGGACTGAACAATGGGAGCTCACCCCGCCATGGGGACTCGAACCACCAACCTTCTGATCGGCAAGCCCAAGCGGCAAAGTGGTTTGAGCCACAGCGCCACCCGCGTCCTGTTTGACACTGTAGCAGGTATGAAATTGCAACGGGTGAGTCAGGGGCTGCTCTACAATGAACCAGGGACAATACACTCCAGCACAGCAACCTAACAGCATTCCAGTTCAGTCTCTCAGTGCATAGTGAGAGACTTCACATGTTTGTGCTATGCTTGCCAGTGCACCAAGAATAATGAGCGACCATTTTTCACATCACATTTGGCTGGTTTTTTTAATTTATGTCAAATGATTGCATAGCATGTGATTTGTTGCAGTGTGTCACCACTTAAAGAAATGATTATTTAAACTAGAGATGAGGAAACTGTGGCTCCCTATACTACCAGGGCAGGATCAAGGTTCTTGTATTAATTTAAAGACCCTTAACAACTTGGCTCTGGGATACCTCAAGAACTACCTGAACCCTCATATCGCTGCTGCTCAGTCACTGAAGTCTTAGTGGGAGTCGCTGTTAGTGGCTCAATGCATAGCTCGAATCCACCAGGGAGCCATGTGTTCAGTATTCCAGGCCCAAAATTATGAAGCATCAGAATGGTTTTCTGGTTTGAGGACAGATTATTCAGTGCTGCTTTCCCCAGCTGAATTCACTGACTTCCACAGCAAACAAAGTTGAAATATATTAATAACTGAATAATTTTCTGACAAGCAAAATTACAGAACCACTCTCAATCTTGACTTCATTCCCCCAGATACCCATGGTAGTGGTTTCATGGGTATACAATTTATTATAATTATATCTGTATTTCCCCCCTAACCCCATGCAGTTGTTATTGTAGCTTTTTTAAAAAAAAGAAGAAGTCCAGCCCATGGAATAGCATGGAGAGACAGCATTGCGTGGACAGGCGGAGTCCCCAGATCCCACGCGGTCCCCCCGTCATGTGGAATAATGACTCATGACAACGTGCTATGGGATTAAATTGGCCACAACTTTACTAAATTTCAAATGTGGGTAGACCTTGGCTCAGGCATTGGGCGTTCTCCCTCCCCAGCCCCCAGCCAGGGACCTAGGGAGCTTCAGGGTTATCCAGTGTGTGTGTGTGGGGGGGATGGGCCGTCTCTGGAGAGCATATGTTCAAGCAGAGATAGCCGCCCCCGTTACGCCGCCGCCGCAGGGAGAGCAATGACGACCTTTCGGCGTACGGTCAAAGCCTCCCTTCAGAAACCCCTTTAACGGGGAACCCTGGTATCGCCGCCGCAAAGAGGAAGATGGACTAAAGGATTCCGCCCAAGGCCTGATACCGCCAAAGTTGTGACGTTTTGCTACGGGAAAGGCCAAACCTGCCAATGCAGGGAAATTCCTTTCCGGCCCTTTAACAGCGACCTTAACGTAGCAGCGCCCGCATACCTGCGAAGAAAAGTTAACCTGCAAATAAGACATTAACTGAGGGTGGGTAGGGTGGGAGAAGCTCTGGAGCCAAGTGAGGATTCCCAGGTAAGATCCTCCCTCTATTGTGTGGGCAGGTAATCCCTCCCCTACCTGGCCTGGTCTCCTAGGCAACGCTTCCCCCAGGTGGGATTGGACAACTGACTGAGGTAGGCGGAGACCTCCAGGTATCCCACCTGAGGGAAGGCAAACCAAGCCTATGCTGTTGGAGCCGCTCCAGATCTAGGGGCTGCACGCGTCCACGCAAAGGGCGCCCCCCGTTTTAAGCGGGGAGTGGTCATTCTGAAGCTTCTTATTTTTACGACCGCCCACTTCCCTTTCAGCTGTGAACTGTTGATCTGCCACTTCCCCATGGCAACAACTATTGTGCTTTGTCTCTCCAGGGTCATCATATCCCACAATGCACCAGAAGCATTGTGGGCTGCAATGGCTCTGGGTAGGCAGAGCAGAATTGCAGTGACTTTGGGAAATCAGCTGGCCTGGGGAAATTGTTTACAGCAACAAAAATTGGGGATAGGGTGGGGGGAGACACAGAAGCCTCAGACTGTTACTGTCCCTCCCTGCTAATCATGTAAGTTCCCTGTTCATGAAAGTGTGCAACTCAGAAATTTTCCAGGGCACTCCCAAGCGTGAAGACAGTGCCTTTCTGTCTTCACAGCCTGAGAATGGGGCTACAGAAGTGTGGAAGCATTGCTGTTCAGCCTTAGCTTTCTTCCCATCATAAAACAACAACAAACCCTCACCCTGTTTCGTTCCATTTTTAACAATTGAGGAGTTAATGATCCTTTTAAGCAGATGGCAAGAGAACAACCCACCCTTCCCCCCAAATTTGTTATCTAAAGTTCCCTCTTATGTAGAATGGTGTATTGGAAGGTTTTTAAAATATATATTAGAATATAAATACGTGATGTCTTGAAAACACAGTCTGTGCGATTTACTGCATCATTCTGCAGATTAATGGAATATATATATATGTATATGGAATCTAATCATCTATGGCTCTGCATTAATATTTCATGTTTCTGCACAATACCTTTCTCTGTAAGAGGGGAAATATTTCAATGAAATGAACAATGTTTAGATTAAAAATAAAAATTGCATCACTTACCACAGTCTCAAAGCACCTTGCCTTTTGTGCAACAGGATTTGTTCTCCTAAAGCTATATTTTCTTCCAGAGCTCTATTCCTCCTTCTTCTTTGTGTATGGCTAACACAATCCTTTAAGAATAGCAACTTCTACAGGCAGGGGGCAGATATTAAGATGATTAACATGACTGTACCATAATTGTGTTATACAGTGAATACTGCCCTGTATGTTCTAATCACATCTGGATATGTGGTTGTACCTTGGAAAGTCCATTTGATAGGTATCTGTATTCACCCTAAACCTGCTGAGGTTTACCAGTTCACCTGGTGCCTTGTTAGGTCAAATGATTAGCACTATCACACTCTTAGGTGGAGCTGTGGCTGTTTGTGTGAGTTCAGAAGCTTAATTACACCCAAATCATTTTTGTTAAGTGGCCACCAATTCAAAATAAAGTTGGAGCTTACACAAATATGATGGATATGCAGGTTCTGCCAATTGCAGTTGTTTTTCCCTAATTAAGAATGGAAGATTCGGTCAATTTCTGTTCTCTCCATTTATTGTTTTCCCAGTCTTAAATTTAGTTCACATTTCTGCAGCAATTTGTGAATTGTTTTTTTAAATCACTCAGGAAAATTCATCAGCATTTTTGTATACAGTTTTGACCAACGTGCCCATTTTTGTAAGCAATTTATCCCAATATAACACATTTTTGTGTATTTCCCAAATATATTCATTTTTCTGCACAATTCTACCTACTCTGTGCATTTTTGTAAATGTTGGTAGATTGGAGAAATTTGGATAAGTGCAAATTTCAAAGGATGGCTGCGTTTCAGGTCTCATGTTCTCGAAAGTGAACATTTGCTAAATTTGGCTTTAATGCTAAATGAATCAAATTTCTCCCCCACCCCTCATGTTGATTGGCCAGGTATATTCATAGGCTGGAAGATGAAACAAAATGTATCTCACTGAGGGATACTCTAAGAGTTATTGGTACCATTTCCCATTTTGGCTGCTCTTGACATCTTGTTTAGGACGTAATACTGTGTACACTTGACTTGGAGAACAGATCTGTTTACAGCACTGACCTTTCCTTCACTCTTCCTATTGTTGCCATTCCCTAATTGCTTATGCTGAAGCATTTAGTTCAAAAATAGAAACCACATCCACGAGACCCCTCGTTTTGTTGTGATTCACTGTAATAATTGTTAGCATGAAATTTATTCCCACTCCAATGTGGTGTCTAATTGAATCTCTCATTGATTACAATCATTCATTTGACTTCACTATATTGTTTGACAGGCTCTTAATGCTCTGCTACTTCCAAGTACTGAAGTACTCAGTGTTATCTAGCAATTAATTTAGCGATCCAAGTTAGCATGCACATTAATTATAATGTCATATACTTTTTGATGTCGTTGCAAAGCATGAGTGGCCACTATCTTGTTATTAGAATAAAAATGACTTCTCATAACCGTACCAAGTTTGGTTTCCTAATACACGTAACATTTTTTTTCACTTACTCTAAAGGTAGTCATTGACTACAACTATTAGAAATTGGGAAAGTGATACATTTCATTTACAGTGTATTTGTTGCTGCTGCTGCTGAATGATTCTGTGACATTTTAGCCATTTTCATCTATTGTAGCAAAAACTATTGCAGCTAGTTTTTGTACTTGCAAAGAGGTGTTTCTCTATCCCAGCCCCCTTGAAACGAGTAGACAGAAAAAAATTAAGTCCCCCACATGAAATCTGAAGGGGTCCTATCACTTGTTAGTAGAAAGGAAAATTTATTCTGCCAGAGAATGCCCCATTCACCCACTGCTCTCTACTCTACCTCCCCTCCTGTCATCTACTCCTACTCAAGCAGAAAACTCTCAGCATTACTCTTTTGTCTAAAATTCTAGTTATTTGCCAGGCACACCATTAGCAAACAAGCGAGATTCTCTTTCCTTTCACCTGAATGTGCTCCTTTTCCCTGTCTCATCCTCTCTCTCCGGCTTTGTGCTCAAGGCAACCCGAAGCCCAATGCTGGACATCGCAAATGATGCTTTTAGGTGGTGCAGAAAATAAGAATAAAAAGAACAATTAAAGGAGACAAACAAGCCTCCTAGCAAAGCGAAGAGTGTGAAGCAGAGAAAGAGAATGTCTTCAGGGGAAATGTGGGAGGAATTTTGATTCTGCACTAAGTATGGCTCTATTATTAATAATGCAGAAAGAAGGCGAGACAGCATGGTTAGGCTCAGAAATGTCATCAATGGCTGCATGACAGCCACCTCCCAGCCCACCTGGGTCCCATGCTGTGTGAGGAGAGAAAGGTCCCTGCTAACATAGAGTGTACCTGCTCTGTTCACCCTCATAGTGACAGAGATCGGGAATGTGCCTCTAAATAGGTAGCCAGATGTCCACAAGAGGGAGAGATTTCCCTCAAAGTTATTGTAGGTTGGTTCAGAGTAATTCTGATTCCACCTGAGTTTCTCCCCTGATCACCATTCATCATCTATTCAAAAATGATCAAAGGGCAGTTAAATTTTTGGTGAAATTCTTATGGGGGAGGTGCACTGTTTTTGTTGTGCTTACTTTATTTCTGAGGTGGCCGAGAGGAGTTTATGAAAAGAAACATGTATTTTCTTACATTCTATAAATCATCTTTATTCTGTGGTCTGCAATCTGTACCCTTCTCAGGTGCTCATGTTCCACAATGCAGACAACATTGTGAGAAACTCCTCCAATGGTTTTTCTTTTTCTTTTCTTAGATCGGGGCTCACAGGCAGCCAGGGAGGCTGCAGAGAGCTGGAAAATGTTTACCAGAAAGAAAGAAAAACACACCACCCTTGGCCATGTTACAACAATAAAGTAAGCTTATCCAGGCTTTTGTGATTAAGATAGCCTCTACTATGGAACACATCTTTTCCTGGGGTTAGTCTGGACCTGGCCTGCTTATTGTATTTCTGGATAAGCATTTTAAAATTTTTGTATTGTACATCATTTCTAATACAGCTTTTAAAAAGTTGGTTTGATCTGTTTATATTTTGTTCTGTTGTCAAGTTGCTTTGACTTAATAGTAATCTCAAAACCCTATCCCCACACCCTCTGAAATCCTGAAGAAACCATTAAGTTCCTTGGGAATGAGGCAGACAAATGGAAGCCTTCTTCAAAGATGGAAAAAGCTATAGAGAAATTGAAGGACCAGTTTTGGCACAGCGCTCATTCAGAGCATTTAATGACCAGATCACACTCCCAGTATTGAGCAGAAGCTCAATAGAAGTTCCATATGCTCCCAAGATGTTTACACAAGGACCCCTAGTTAGTGTGAGTAATCTCTTTAAAAAACATTTGTGTTGTCTTACAATTTTGAGATACACAAAGGCTACATTATACAGAGAGAAATCCGAAGGTCATACAAGCTCTGCCATCAAGCCAAGGGTTAAATCCAACTGGCCACTTCAATAAGACCTCATTTTCATTCTGTATTTGGAGCTAAGAAAGCCAAAGTAAAAATGAGGACAGCAGCAGGACTGTAAATCTTTCAGGCTTTGAAGATTACCTTGAGGTGAACACAAGGGCCTCATTTTAGAATTCCCGAAGTGTTGCCCACTCCAAAAGAGGGTTTATGTATTAATCAATTAATCATTGCTGAAGTTTTAATCAAGCACCAGAGCTGGTAATCAATTGGCCACCCGATGGAGCACAAGGATGTTTTGCTGTGTTACCCACCTGCCCTTCTGAATCTTAATTAGCAATTATCTTTTCTGCATGGCCCCTTGACCTCACACATTCTTGATCTGAAATAGAGAGAGCCCGGTGATAATTTCACCTTTTGCCTCTGCCATTTGGCATTATTCAGAGTTATCATTAAATCCCCAGCCTCCTCAGAACTTGCGGGATGGGAAAATCTTTAGTTAACGTTGCAATTACTGTAATGAGAAGTTATAATGAAGTAATCCTACAGGCAAAGTCAGATGTAACAAGAAAAACCCTCAATGACTTGTGGCCTTCCTTCCTTCCATCCTTTTTTGCTGGATGCAAACTGAAGATGTTGGCCTGACCTGGGCTGCCACCTCTTGTTTCTCATAATACAGTCAGTAATGCCACATGGAACTGTGTAGCAAAAGGATAAAAAACCAGCAACCCAGGGCTGTATCTAACGTAGCATTAAGGAAGTAGTTCTACCAATGCAAGGATTTCTGCTTGCACAGTGAACTTTGCCCCCTCCCCTGTTCTGGGGTTTTCCCTAATCCTTTGCAGAAGATTTGGGGAGGGTGCAGAGTGTATGGGGGAAGTCCCATTGTGCTGGCAGACAGGGGTGTACAAAGTGGGGGCGGGGGCAGGGGGCCCCGGGTGCCACCCTGGGAGGGGTGACAAGATGGCCTGCTGCCTCCACCCAGCTGTAGAGCATCTGAGGTCCATACAGGTACTGATGTCGCACACACGCGCCCCACCCCGGGTGCCGGAGAGGCTTCCCCCACCCCTGCTGGCAGTAAGCCTTATGTTGTCAGGATGAGATAGTTGAATCTGCATTTCAAGTGCCTTTTCCTATACCAGGGACAGCCCATTCTGTTTCATCACCTGAGGCAAAACAGGAAGGAGCTGTCCTACACATGCGCTGCCTGCCCCAATGGTCACCCCCCCCCCAAGGCCTCCCTTACCAGGGTTGCATGGCTGCGGCTTCTGGATTCTCGTGAGGTCTTGTAGGGCTCTCCCACAATCTTGCAGGTTCTCTTGCGTGTCCTCACCAGAACCTGGAAACTGCCACAGCTGCTTCTTTTTGTTTCTCCAGTGATGGGCAGCACTGGGGGCAGGCCCTTATAGAATCATAGAATCATAGAGTTGGAAGAGACCACAAGGGCCATCGAGTCCAACCCCCTGCCAAGCAGGAAACACCACCAGAGCACTCCTGACATATGGTTGTCAAGCCTCTGCTTAAAGACCTCCAAAGAAGGAGACTCCACCACATTCCTTGGCAGCAAATTCCACTGTCAAACAGCTCTTACTGTCAGGAAGTTCTTCCTAATGTTTAGGTGGAATCTTTTTTCTTGTAGTTTGGATCCATTGCTCCGTGTCCGCTTCTCTGGAGCAGCAGAAAACAACCTTTCTCCCTCCTCTATGTGACATCCTTTTATATATTTGACCATGGCTATGATATCACCCCTTAACCTCCTCTTCTCCAGGCTAAACACGCCCAGCTCCCTTAGCCGTTTCTCATAAGGCATCGTTTCCAGGCCTTTGACCATTTTGGTTGCCCTCCTCTGGACACGTTCCAGCTTGTCAGTGTCCTTCTTGAACTGTGGTGCCCAGAACTGGACACAGTACTCCAGGTGAGGTCTGACCAAAGCAGAATACAGTGGCACTATTACTTCCCTTGATCTAGATGCTATACTCCTATTGATGCAGCCCAGAATTGCATTGGCTTTTTTAGCTGCCGCGTCACACTGTTGGCTCATGTCAAGTTTGTGGTCAACCAAGACTCCTAGATCCTTTTCACATGTACTGCTCTCAAGCCAGGTGTCAGCCCTTGGATACCCCTTGGATTCTGCCACCTGAAACAGTTGCTTCAGCCTGCCTCATGGAAGGGCAAGCTCTGCCTACACTGACAAGCCAGTGTGGTGTAGTGGTTAGAGGTCTATGAAGCTCACTGGGTGACCTTGGGTCAGTCACTGTTTCTCAACCTAACCTACCTCCTGGAACTGTTGTGAAGTTTACATGAGGAGAGGGAGAACCATGAGTTCCTTGGAGGAAAAGTGTAATGCAAATGCAATTAACGGCAATAAATAAATAATAAGTAGGTCATGTGTGGAGGGAACAGACTTGAAATGTTATTTCATTAGTTATTATTAATTAAAGCACTTATGTGAAACCTTTCAGTTGTTTTTAAAAAATTATCAGGATGTTGATATTGGAGCTGAAGTTTCAGTGTGGCTGCCCCTGTTTTTTGGAGTAGCATTCTTGTTGAGATACCACAGGATGAAGCAGGATCCCCACTGAGATCTCCGTTGAGGTAGGATCACTATCAATGGTAACTTGCTGCAAACCACGGGAGGGAGCAAGTGTTCTTGCGCTCAGGTCCAGTTTGCAGACTTCCTGTGGGCATCTGGTTGTCCACTGAGAGACCAGAATGCTGGACCAGATGGAGCCATTGACCTGATTTCATTTATATACTCCAGGGGTCTGAACTGGTTTATAATCCAATGCAGAATATATCAAGGCACAATGATTATAATGGAGTGGGGAGACGGAGAGGGAAAGTGGGGGCAGTACCTGAGGCCAGGTGGGGTCAAATTCAGCTCATGGACTGGAGTTCTCCACCCAGTCCTAAGATTGCCTGACCTGCCATACAGTATGTGATTTAACCTGCATTCATCACCTGAACTTCTTCTATGGATGCCAAAGAAGTGTCTGCAATGACATTCAATAGTACATGCATAGAATATACTACGCTGCATTCAACAGAATGCATAGCCATTCTGTAATCCATAAAACCTGCATGTGGTTGATTGCGTATTTTAGCATGCCTCTAATGTGTCACTGGCCCTCACCTTCAAGGCCATGAAAGATGAGGGACATTACATACATATCCAGCCATGGACACGGAGATTCAAACCAAAGCTGCCTTTGGGAATTAATCTTGCTAGAGAGGCCAAGTCCACCTTCTCCTTGTCTTTCATTCTTTATGAAGATGAAAAGCAGCCACTCTCTAGCACACAGGACAGTGGAATGAAAGTGCATCAGCAGCAGTGCCTGAAGATAAATAGCCCTAATAGCATGACAATATAAAACTGTCGTAAGCAATATTCACATTGGGTAAGTGAATAATATACTCACTTTAAACCTGTTCCTGGTGGGGGGGGGGACTCCAAATTATTCTTTAGGGTAAGTCGCTAATGTCATGCTCCGATTGATATCAATGCATTAAGGTTACTATCGCAAACCATCTATGATATTACTGCAAATGAAGAGCCAGTGTGGTGTAGTGGTTAGGAGTGGTGGACTCGTAATCTGGTGAACCAGGTTCACGTCCCTGCTCCTCCACATGCAGCTGCTGGGTGACCTTGGGCTGGTCACACTTCTCTGAAGTCTCTCAGCCCCACTCACCTCACAGAGTGTTTGTTGTGGGGGAGGAAGGGAAAGGAGAATGTTAGCTGCTTTGAGACTCCTTCGGGTAGTGATAAAGCGGGATATCAAATCCAAACTCCTCCTCCTCCTCCTCTTCTTCTTCTTCTTCTTCTTCTTCTTCTTCCAAACTTGTGTTTAGAATTAAGAAAGAGTCCTGTTTGATCAGACCAAAATATTATCTAGTCTAGGATCTTGTTTCAAACAGTGGCCAATCAGATGCCTCTGGGAAGCCCACAACAGAATGTGAGGACAATAAGCCTCTCCCATGGTCCGCCCCGCCCAGCAACTAATAGTAAATGGGGGGAGGGACAGTGCCACACACCTGACCTCCCTTCAGTGGAGTCACTGCCATTTACCAGAAGGGAGTAAAGGAGAGGTGGGGCAGCAGGGAGGTCAGAGCTTAACTGAATCACATGTATTGCATACCGGTGCACTGTGTTTTTCATTTTCCCAGTAGGCTACAGTTTTGCTCATTGGCTTTGGTCCTCTGAAATTATTTGTTTTAAATGCACTTTTTAAATTCCCTGCATTCTGGTCTGATTGGTGTTGGCCCTGTATCCTGCGTGTTCACATAAATGTTCCTATGTCCATCAGTGAACTGGAGGATATTTCATTTGGCGTTTCTAAGTATTAAGGCTCATTTGCTTAAGAAACTGGATCAGGCCAGTGACTCAACTAGTCCAGCATTCTGTTCTCTCACAGTAGCCAACCAGTTACCTAAGCAGGATCCCAGCAAAAGAGCATTCTCTGCTCCTGTGGTTTTCAGCAACTGGTATTCAAAAGCATTACTGCTTCAACTGTGGTGGCAGAATATAGCCAGCATGACCAGGGGCATAGCATAGGGGGGCG